CTGAGGGTTTGCCAGCGGCCATAGCTGTGGCCGTGCCGTGAGTCGCTCTTAAGCCCCTGCGTGCTTCAAAGGCCCGGCCGGCGAGCAGAACGTTCCTCATTCGCCCTACAGCCTGACTTGCCGCCGGTTTTCCAGCTCGCTGGTGAAGGTGACTCCTCCTCATTCTCCCACTCGCGATTGATGTGGCCTACGGCTTATTCCGAGGTGCAAATCCCAGGAGCTTGTTGACGGCGAAGGTTTCAATCCCATTCCACCAGCAGGATTTACATCTTTCGGATAAAGAATAATCAAGTTTAAAACACTCAGCAGATCAGGCAGCATCTATGGAGAGAGGAAAGGGAGTTAACTGGTCATCGACCTGAAACATTAACTCCCATTCCTCCCTCCATAGATGCTGCCTGACCTGCTGAGTGTTCCCAGTGACTCCTGTTTTTATTTCAGATTTCCACCATCTGCAGCATTTTGCCTTTTTTGTTTGATAATAACAATAATAATCATTGCATTTGATACAACGCCTCATCACGTCTTCCAGACGTCTCAAAGCGCTTCACAGGATACACTGTAAATTGAAGTGACTGTGTATTTTGTGGGGGAAACACGGCAGCCAATTGCGCACAGCAGTGTCTCCACAAACAGTCGTGGTTTGAGTGAAACAAATTATTTGTATTTATTTTGAAGGAATGATTTGCACAGTTCATGGTTTCACATCAAACCAAAGGCCCTTTCACGCCATCACTGATGGTGACAATTTCATTAATTGTTTTATCCATTAAAAAAAACCAAAGAGTTTACAGACCTCGAACAGCCTGGGGGTTGTGAGAAGTTTAGTTAATAGCAAAAGGCAACTGACATTTATAAGGTGCCATTCCCATCAGGAGAACATCTCACTGCCCTTCAACACAACTGACTGTGAGCTTGAACGCGTGGGGTGGGGTGCGGTGAAATTGAGGAGAGGGGAACAGTGGCCGTTAGATCGTAAGACAACTTTTGAAGGGGGAGAGGGAGAGAGCGAGAGCAAGGGAGAGGCAACTTGAGGAATTGGGTAATAGTAGCCTCACGACCAAATAAAATTGGCTGCTCACTCTACAACTGTTTGTGGGACACTGCTGTGCCCAACTGGCCACCAAGTTTCACCCACAAAATCCAATCAATTCACTTCAGAGTATATCCTGTGAAGCTGGTTTGCTCCTCCCTACCTCACCACGGCTCTGGCTGAGATCAGCTAACCCCACAGCCCATGGCTGAACTTGGCACTATCATGGTCTCTATGGCTCCATTCTAAGTTGTGGATTCACAAGACAGTAAAGCTGGGGTTGGACGAAGAAGGCCCTTTGACCTCATCCCATCCAGACTCCGAACTCCGCCATCTCCTACCACTACATCAAGCTTCTTTTTGAATGAGTCCAGTGCTCTGGCCTCCATCCCCACCCCTTCCAGTCATTAATTTGCCTGTGGCTAATTTCTGGTGTTTGTACTGAAATTGCTCTTTGTGACTCTAAACCTGTGTTGTCCTGCCTGGCTCAGTGCTTTTACTTTCTCAACCTCATTTCTATTGTCTCTTCTGAGATGCCTCCTCTCAAGACTGAAGAGCCCTAAACATTTACCAATTGGACCAGCCATTATTCTCAGCAGTCACATTGCTTGTATTTGCCAAGCTGCTTTGTTGCCACAAACAAACATTGAAACAAATAGAGTGTCCATGAAAGTCAGAGGATATGTTCCCTGTTTTCAGACTATAACCAGGCACTGATTGCATTTTTCTTGGTTTCTTCTCCTCCTTCAAATGCAAGGATTATTATTATATTGTGTATAATATTCTCCCAGGCAACGTTGTGCCTCCCTGTCTAGGCCTTACTCACAGTGTAGCCTCTCCAATCTTCCTTGAGATGGTTTCGCATTACATCCCACTCAGTCTTCACATAATTCAAGTGCAGGCTGTAACAGGAAGTGACTCAAAAACTAATCCACTGTTCAAAGATCTCAAATTTTCCGTCACTCAGTACACACCCCGAGTAACACACCACGTAACCTGGCACTCGCAGCTCACACATGGAGATAGGAGCACATTGATTGGCATAGATTTGTATGTACAGCTTATCTTTCAGACCATTATCCAGGGCAGTTTTGACTACATTTGGTTGTCCAAGGAGCCAGAATTTGAATGCTGACACATGTATGTCTTTGAACTCATTGAGGAAGTGGTTAAGAACTTTGCAAACCCTTCACTAGCCAGTATCTTGGGATGTCCCCCCAACATGAAAGGTGCTATATAAATGTAACGTGTTGTTATTATGCTTGAACATTTTTTTGTAATTGGATAAATGTGGAATAGGTGTATATGTGTTGGGGGCGCGGGGGGAGGGGGAACACCAAATAAGAAGTTTGCTGAAAATGTCCATCCCTTTATCCCCACAGTTGCTCTCTGTTACCTTGTCCAAGGGGCCATTCAACCATGAGCTTGTGCATGACTGTCAACCAATCCTCCAGATAACAAACAGTCACTCACTTCACTCCTTTTTGCCGGATTTGAATAATACTACTAATAATAATAATCCCCCACTTCACCACCCGCTGCCTGCGCTCGGATGGCTCCAGCCTCCTATTTGTTCCTTGTGCCCTCTGTTCCATCATCGGTGGCCGCTCCGAAACTCTCTCTCAATCCCTCCACCTTCAGCCTTCCATCCCCACCTTCAAATCGCACCTAAAGACCTTCCTGTTTGATCGATACATCGCCTCCCCATTTCCTGTTGCCCTGGCTTCGTCCCTGTGAAGCGCTCTGGGATACTACGCTCCTCCACACTCGACACTCTTGCCTCCATCACCTCCCATACTGTCTCTTACTCTCGCTCCTCCCCCTGGTACACCACCCACCTCCACTCACCGAAGAGCCAGGTGAGGGCCGCTGAACGCACTGCCTCAAATCTGGCCTAACGGTCCATCGACAAATCTGGCTGGACCTACTCAAAATCTACCGCTCCACTCTAGCCTCGGCCAAGTCGTCCTTCTACTCCAGGATAATCCTGGAGGCGAAGAACAACCCCAGGCTACTGTTCTCTACCACATCCCGACTCCTCCGTCCCCCCGCCACCCCGCGCAGGTCATCTCCTCCAACCTTCACTGCGAGGAGATGCTGGATTTCCTTGAATCCAAAATCAAGGGAATCCGCTCCGCGGTCACTGCCCCTCCAACTTCCACCCACCCCCCACACTCCCACTTATCACAGACATCATCAACCTGTCCCTCTCCTCTGGCTCTATTCCCATTCCCCTAAAAACTGCCACCATCAATTTGAAAAAACCCTCCCTTGATGCGTCGCAGCTATCAAGCTACCGGCCCATCTCCAACCTCCCCTTCCTGTCCAAGGTCCTTGAAAGAGTTGTCGCCTTTCAGCTGCGCTCTTTCCTCTCCACCCATTCATTATTCAAACCCCTTCAGTCGGGTTTCTGTGCTGTCCATAGGCGAAGGGAACGTGGGATGGAGTTCCAGAGTGTGGGGGCAGAGAGGCTGAAAGCCCGGCCACCGATGGTAGGGCGGGTCGGGCGAGAGAAATGGAGCAGCCGGAGCCCACTGAACGGAGGGAGCGGGTGGGTTGGTAGGGAGTCAGCAGGTCAGAGAGGTAGGAGGTGGCAGGCCATGGATAAGGACAAGGATCTTGAACTCAATTCTCTGGGGGATGGGGAGCCAGTGGAGTCGGGCGAGGGTGGGAGTGATGGGGTCGGGTGAGGGTGGGAGTGATGGGGTTGGGCGAGGGTGGCAGTGATGGGGTTGGGCGAGGGTGGGAGTGATGGGGTCGGGCGAGGGTGGGAGTGATGGGTCGGGTGAGGGTGGCAGTGATGGGGTCGCGGAGTCTGGTGTGTGAGAGTACATGAGCTGCAGAGTTTTGGATGATCTGCAGGTTGTGAAGGGAAGAGTTGGGAAGGCCAATGAGGAGGGAGTTCCCGTAGTCGAGCCTTGAGGTGACGAATGTGTGGATGAGGGTTTGGGGCCCTGAGGGGTGAGGCAGTGGTGGAGTCTGGCAGTGTTGCGGAGGTGGTGGTAGGCAGTGCTGGTTATAATAATAATAATAATAATAATAATAATAATCTTTGCATTTGATATAGCGCTTTTCACGTCGGGAGGACGTCCCAAAGCGCTTCACAGAACACACTGTAAAGTGAATTGACTGTATATTTGTGGGCGAACGCGGCAGCCAATTGCGCACAGCAATGTCCCACAAACAGTCGTAGATGAAAATGACCAATTTATTATTGTTTTTGGGTTTGGAGGATTATTATTAGGCTCTGTGTGGAGTAAGGAAACTTGCCCAAGGTTTCGCCCTCTGCCTGGAATTGAACTCAGGTCTCTCACTTGCAAAGCGAGTGCTCTAACCACTGAGCTACAGTGCTACAGGTTATGGTGCGGACGTGGGGGAGAAAGGACAGTTCAGGGTCATACAGGACCCCCAGGTTCCTGAGCGGGTCAGTGAGGGTGAGTGGCAGCAGTGGAGGCTGATGGTGCAGCGCCCGAGGTGCGGAGGCGCTGGTCTGAGCCAATCCGGAGGGCCGCGGTCTTACTGACGTTGAGTTGGAGAAAGTTGTCCCTCGTCCAGGACTTGATGTCGCACAGACAGTCGGTCAATATTGATATCGAAAATATTGATACATTCATTAGTTGCTGAGCAAAGGTTGAAATGATTTTTATTATTAAATCATATTTTTTATGACAATTCTCCATCAATTCATTGGCATTGTCCTGCGGGCGGCGCTGTTGCTGAGGCAGTCCTCCTGGCCAGCGGGCGGCGCTGTTGCTCAGGCAGTCCTCCTGGCCAGCGGGCGGCGCTGTTGCTCAGGCAGTCCTCCTGGCCAGCGGGCGGCGCTGTTGCTCAGGCAGTCCTCCTGGCCAGCGGGCGGCGCTGTTGCTCAGGCAGTCCTCCTGGCCAGCGGGCGGCGCTGTTGCTCAGGCAGTCCTCCTGGCCAGCGGGCGGCGCTGTTGCTCAGGCAGTCCTCCTGGCCAGCGGGCGGCGCTGTGCGAGGAGGCGCTGTTTGCAGGCGCAGCGCTGTGGGAAGCGGAGCGGGATGGACGGCGGTTGCTGAGAGAGAAAGAGAGGAAGAGGGCTGTGAGCGCGTCTGGACGGGAGGCCCCGCGAGGAGAGGGAGACAGAGCGCGAGCAGAGGCGGGGAGCGCGGCCGGAGAGAGAGAGAGAGAGAGGAAGCGAGAGGCGCCGCCTGGGCCCCAGAAGCCCCGCTTTCTAGTTTGAGTTGCGGCCGAGGCCGAGGAGCGGGGAGGGGGCGGGGAGGGGGCAAAATGTCGGAAAATCAACCCAACAACAACAATAACAACGCGAACCGCGCGCGGAACAACAACCCGAACCCACTCATCAATGTCCGCGACCGCCTGTTCCACGCTCTCTTCTTCAAGATGGCCGTGACGTACGCCAGAGTCTTCCCTCCGTCCTTCAGGAGAATGTTCGAGTTTTTCGTCCTTTTAAAGGTACCGAGAACCGCCTGAGGGGGGAGGGGAGCCCCTGAGGGGGGAGCCCCTGAGGGGGGGAGGGGAGCCCCTGAGGGGGTGAAGGGGAGCCCCTGAGGGGGAGGGAGGGGAGCCCCTGAGGGGGGGAGGGGGAGCCCCTGAGGGGGGGAGGGGAGCCCCTAAGGGGGAGGGGAGCCCCTGAGGGGGGGGGGAGGGGAGCCCCTGAGGGGGGTCACTGAATGGGCAGGTGGGGACTAGCATCTCGCCCGGGAGCAACAAGCTCACCGTTATTATTGCCCCCACACACACACACACACTTGGCAGCAATGCAGTCAGTGCCCCTTCTCACAGTAAACTGCATCAAAACACTATGCAGTGCAGTTCCTGTTAAACTGTAGAACATGATGTTTTTTATTCTGGGATATTGTGGTTGGTGGGAATTTGATGTTGGATGAAGCCGCACAGGATAATTGTTTGCTAATATTAATTTAAGTTTATGCCAAATCTGTTGAGGTGTAATGTAATACAAGCACTGTAACCGTGTAGGAGCAGACTGGCTCTCGGAGCGTTGCCAAGCACACTCAAGGTACATTTAGAAAGCTTTTTTTTGTTTAGCTATTTGCTTCTTCAGGAAGCTGTTCATTCTAGTGCCAGTTCGCTGTTTTTCCCCACTAAATCCCCTTCCATTCTGTTCTAAACACCATCCCTGGCATATCATTCTATACAGACCACCCTCTGGGAATAGTGATTCTTTTTCTCATTTTACTCCCCATTGTCACAATCTTGAAGTTCACACCCTCTTGTCCTTGAATTCCTCACCCCCCCCAATGGAAAGAGTTTTTCACAATTAATTTTCTCAGACTCTTTCATTATCCTCAAGACCTGTAGAGTCCTGTAGCTTAATGATTAGAGCACTAAACTCGCAAGCAAGAGGACCTGGGTTTGATTCCCGGGCAGTGCGGGCACGTTACCTTACTCCAAACGCCTGTTTACCTAGCAGTAAGTAGGGACCTCGTTGTTCATCGATTGGCGGATTGCTTTTCCTGTGGTATAATCCCTTAAAAGAAATTATTTGGTCACTCAATTCACAACTGTTTGTGGGACGCTGCTGTCCACAATTGGCTGCCGCATTTCACCCACAAAATTTACAGTCAATTCACTTTACAGTGTATTCTGTGAAGGGCTTTCAGATGTCTCGAAGATGTGATGAGGCGTTACATCAAATGCAAGGATTATTATTATGCAGCAATTAGAAGAGTACCAATCCCTCTAATAATATAAAAATCCTTACATTTGATATAGCACCTTATCATGTCTTCGAGACATCTCAAAGCGCTTCAAAGAATAAACTGTAAAGTGACTTGACTGTATAATTTGTGGGTTACAGCTACAGCTCAGTGGAGCCTCATTTTGGGGATCCATAAAATCCTAAATCGAAGCATGATAACTGGTTTCACTGTATACATGCAATGCAGCCTGTGGGCTGTTCTGAAGCTGAAAAATAGCTGATGTCAGTTTCTATACCAAACAGTAAATAACCTTTGCTTTTTGGTGGAAATGAAAATGCCTGATTTCTGAGTGATTAGATATCAAGAAATGACATCGGTTAACCCAAGAGTCAGCCATTTTAGCTTAAAAGTTGGCCGGCAAGTGGGTCAGCAGCACAGCTCAATGAATGGGGTCAATGACAACATACATTTGTATAGTGGTGTTTACGTAGGACAGTGTCCTGGAGCATTGGCGAGCTTGGGAACAAGACAATAAAAGTTAAACTTTTTTTTCCATCAGCTGGATGTCTGACACATCACAGTAATTAAAAGTATCAAAACCAGACTGAGTTCCATGTGTGCCACCTAAACATGGAAATTTTTGTACCTGCCAAGATTCCTGCTGCTTGTTCAGCTATGCCTACCCTATCCATTAGGGCTTTGGCTTTCAGGGTTAACAGGAGCTGTGGGGGGAATGCCTGCCCCCAGGGATTGGTCTATCTTTCCAAGTCCTGCTGGGCTGTGTTGTTATGAGCAGTGCCCTGGAATACTGCCAACCCGCCAGGCTCAGGAACTGGACCGTCGCAGAGGGTGTGGACTCGATTCTGATGTTCCGTTGAGAGTCCCAATCCTTCTAATAATAATATAATAATGATCATTGCATTTGATATGTGACCTTGGAGTCAGTTTAGCTCCAAGCAGACTTCTCCCTGCTGACAAGGAGGATAGATCGACAAAGAGTCTGATGGAATTTTAACTTGATCTAATATTAGGAGTGAATCCAAGGTATACGGGAGGACATAGCAACTGAGTTTTACTAAAGTATAATCAGTCAATACTGTTCCCAAGATCATTTTTAATAAAGTGTGTTATTAGCCCTTTTTATAAGAGTTTCTTTATTGTTTCTAGATCCCTCTCTTACAGAAAGCTATATAAAACCCACTCCATAGCCCTTTTGTAATAGAACCTGAGGTTGGTTTAATATCGTCAAAGTGAAATAGCATTCTACATTAATGTTACCCAGGAATTTTATGTTGAGGGCTGGTCTCAAGAACAGGACAAATCTTGCATCACACAGCAATGGCACATGGGTTTGTTCTATACTGATGAGAAAAAATCTGTAACTGCTGATGAGATGCAGCATTTAAAGTCTCATTGTAATTGTTTTTGTGACCAAGCTGAATTGATATAGCTTTGAAAGATTTCATTCCAAAGTGTGAAATAGTAAAACTGACATTGAGTTTTATCTGGGGGATTGTTGTTCAGGACATTGGGAGAAACTCCCTTCTCTTTTTGTATAGTGCCATGGGATCTTTAACCAGTATATGGGACCTGGGTTTAATGTCTCCCATTAAATACTGATATGGATCTTAGAGCTGAAGTACATATTCCAGATAAAGATTCTACCATTTACTCCCATAGCTTCCAGCTTCTTCCTGAGGCACTCAGTCAAAATCCTTATGGATGTTGATGTATGCAATGGAGGTGGATTTCCCTTGAACTTTGATGCTTTGGGACCTGATGTAAAGTCTCAACTGCCCACACACTCCTCACAAGAATATCTATTCCAACAGTTCCTTCCTCATTACACTCCCATATATGCGCTGGTCTGCCTCAATGCACCACTGAAATCGGTGAGATTCCTCAGTGGTTCTCGGTCTCACTAGAGACACCCTTGTTGTGGATAGATACCACTCTAGATCCATGAAACCGTGTGTGTGTGCCTCAGACTGAATTCACTGACCAGCCTTGGAAGGGCAGCATCAAAGTGAGTTGACAGTTCCTGACATTGAGTCTGCGCCCTCTTCCCCTCTCCATCTTTTAATAACTCAGAATTAATACCTTCAGCATGCGCTGCCTTACCATTAGCAAAGTGACCAGTGCAGGCTCCACATCTTACCAGCAACCGCTTCCTTCCTTTCTATAAAGTTCAGCTTAATGGCCAACAATAATATTATTATCTTCAGATTTATTGGTCCTTCACCTAGTAGCTACTTATGGCATCTTGCTGGAGCAAATAGCTTCTGCGTTTATCAACAAAATCAATCATTATACTTGACAGTAACTCTCTTTATCAATAATTAGCTTTCATCACGTCCAGGCTCGACTACGCCAATGACCTACTCACAAAACTCCCAAACTCTTTCTAATACAAACTGCAGTCTATCCAGAACCCTACAGCCTGTATCCTCTTCTCACACCAGTTCTGCGAGCCTATCACCCCCATCCTAGCTCAGCTCCACATCCCTCCACATCTTTCCCCTCCCCACCCTTTTTGGCTCCCCCCACCCCCTCACCCCCGCTAGTAGGTTTAAATGCTTTGAGAAGTCGACGCAAAATAATAATAATAATCCTTGCATTTGATATAGTGCTTTATCACGTCTTCGAGACGTCTCAAAGCGTTTCACAGAATATACTGTAAAGTGAATTGACTGTATATTTTGTGTGCGAAACGCGGCAGCCAATTGCGCACAGCAGCGTTCCACAAGCAGTCATGGATTGAAGTGACCAAATTATCATTATATTATTTTTCTTGAGGGATTATTATCAGGTGTGTGGAATAACGAAACTTGCCCAAGGTTTTGTCCGACCGGGAATCGAATCCAGGTCTCTTACTTAGAAGCGAGTGCTCTAACCACTGAACTACAGGACTCACTGTAAATTATTAGCGTAACATGAAAGATTATTTGTCCCATTAATCCTATGGCTTACTGCTGTCCGCATAAAATAGTTTATCTGTACTTGTGTGCTTACTGTATAATAACCATAATAAACAAACAGCTTAAGTAGGTCAACTTCGAATGAGATTTGAAACCAGAGTCCCATTTGCTTGTTCAGATGCATTCTAAAGAACAGGAAGTTTCCTGGTTTCCTCACCTATAATTCCCCACCGCTCCCACAAATTTACATACCTGATTAATTGTTTATTATACCATTTCTATGTGTGAGATACTACTGGCATAATTAGCTATAATCCTTCAATTTGTGGAGTCCTGTTGTTCAGTGGTTAGAGCACTCGCTTTGCAAGTGAGAGACCTGAGTTCAATTCCAGGCAGAGGGCGAAACCTTGGGCAAGTTTCCTTACTCCACACAGAGCCTAATAATAATCCCTCTAAATCCAAAAACAATAATAAATTGGTCATTTTCAATCTACGACTGTTTGTGAGACATTGCTGTGCGCAATTGGCTGCCGTGTTCGCCCACAAATACACAGTCAATTCACTTTACAGTGTGTTCTGTGAAGCGCTTTGGGACGACCTCCCGACGTGAAAAGCGCTATATCAAATGCAAGGATTATTATAATTTGATATAGCGCCATATCACGTCTTCGAGATGTCTCAAAGCGCTTCACAGAATATGCCATAAAGTAAATTTGACTGTAATTTGTAGCTGCCGTCATTTAATACATTTCAAACCTAATTCATTGTGTGTGACTTTTCAGCCTAATAACACACTGAACTTTGTTAGAATATACACTTTTTGTATACTGCTAGAATCATAATAGATGTTGTGAATGGGTTAACTTTTAAGTTA